TCTGGAACATCTGACCAAAATTCTAAATCTGAACAATTTTGGATCAAACTTCATAAATTAAATGCTCCAACTTAAAAAAGCCGTTACTGAAACAAACTACAGATACAAAAGTTAAAGACGGAAGCAACAAACAACCAACAAAAGTGTGTGTGTGTGTGTGTGTGTGTGTGTGTGTGTGTGTGTGTGTGTGTGTGTGTGTGTGTGTGTGTGTGTGTGTGTGTGTGTGTGTGCAGACTGTGGTTCAGCCCAACAGGCAGTGATGGAATGATCCTCACTGAGGTGCAAATGAAGGTTTGAGGGTCACGGGGCCGCAGGCAAACAGTAATGAAGCAGCAACGTGACCTGCAGCTGGTGGAGCCCGCTGCCATCACCCAGTTCTTCATTTTCCCCTCATTCCAGTCGGAGCAAGCTGCCTGTTAGCTGTGACAACGTACAATAGCTCTCTGGTTACTAGTTCCTCATCAGATGACAACAATAATTGTGCTGACATGACCAGTTTAAATGTGATCACCATCAGACTCCAGTGGGAACGTCTGAGTGTTTATGATGGTTTTATTAGAATTGATTTTTCTTTTTTCGAATGTTGTGTTTTCATTTAATCTGATTCTAAATAATAAAGGAATCTTTTAAAAATGAAGAAAAGTGAAAGACTGGACTGATGAGTTTTAAGTAATACCACTTGGTCAGATTTACTGTTAAAGTACAGTAACTTTATTATGTGGAATTATTAAAACATTATTAAGTAGGAAGTGAAAAATGTATTTATTGGTCTGTCAGCATTTGGGACTTTATAAGAATACGTGTCCTGTTATAGTTTGATATTTGAATTTTGACATGACATTTCAGACCTGGATTACTCTGAAAACTATCATACGTGTTTCCGATGTGAGACCACATGCAACAGTGACCTGGGTTGGATTTGAAAAGACAAACCACCACAGCTTCTGGGTGTCTATCATGCAGTCGCAGTACTTGATTGGAGAGATATGGTCACTACCCAGGGTGGCATCGCCTCCGTTTGTGGGGAAAAACACAGATCTGTCATTTGCTTTCTGAATAACGGGAGCGTCTCACCTGTTGTACCGTTCCAGCACAACTGCTTAAACGCAGCTCAAACATGAAATCTTCTGCAAACAAAAGAAAAATTACTTTATTTCTTCTGATCCTATAACACAGGACAAGGATTTACCTTCTGCAAGCTGACATGTGCACCGATTGAAATGATGCACCAGATAACAGAAACAAGTCTCTTGTGTGCACATGTGTGTGTTTATGAGCCAGACTCTGTGAGGTTGAATGTTTATTGTTGATCTTTGTAAAGTCTGGAGGTGTAATCAGGTTCTGTTGTGCCCTCCCCCTTTGGTGTTTGTGTTTGCAGATCTGAAGACCCGGTGCTGACAGAAGCAATTGTCCTCCAAGATGGCAAGATCTGCTCCGTACACCCCAACCTGCAGTCTCTGTTGGCCTTTGCTAATTGACAATCAGAGTTGAACTTTGCTCACTGGTCTTCACTCCACCCCTAGAAGTGTGTGCTCTGAATACATTTTACAGAGTGTGCCCAGCACCCAGGTGTGGAGAACGGTGGACTCGGAACAACAGATGTTCTGCTGTGTCACTGCTGAAAGCAGCATACTTCTGTGTATCCCTTTAAGCGTCTTTGGAACCAAAATCGAACTTAATTCAAAAGAAAAGGAAAGTGAAGTCTGTTGGCATCATGATAATTAAAGGCTGAAGGACCCCTGTGCCATCCTCGCTCTGGCATTCCCTCACGTATCCCTCTGCTTCCAAGAATAATCCGCCCAGTAGTCGTAAGTGTGGGACAAAAAGGCACAGCGGCCTGCGCAGGCACCAAGATCATGAAGGTGAGTCACGTTGTTGCGAGGCTTTCTGGGTGATTTACGAGGGTCCGCTGCCAAAAAGCAAGCCATCAAGTCTGGAACAGCGAGTCAGTGCAGCTGTGAGGAGGTGTGTTTGCAGTCCGCCTACCTCGCCCGCCCAAGAACCCCAACCCCGACCCTCTGATGTCTGTGTGTTTTTGTTAATGAAGAAATTCTGATACCCTGGTGAGACATTGCTCTGAGATGAGCTGAGCAGACACTGCCTCCTCCGTGGCCTCAGCCTCTGCACAGTCATGCTGCTGCCCCACCCAACCGCACTCCCATCATGCATCTGGTCAGTTTAGACCTTTTGTTTTTACTTCAGGAAAACATTAGAAAACAGAATCTTCTCATTTGTTGGTATATCTAAAAATGACTGAATTTTGTTCACACACACACAAAAATAAAGTTTTAAAAAGACAGAGGTGTAAGGAAAAGGTTCAGCTTAGAGCTGATAAAACAGGTTAGATCCTGTTTGTTGATTACAATCATTATTCCACAAAGTCCTTTTCTGGAGTTCTCACTGCAGAGCTGGAAAATAAAACTCCATAAACAAAAGAAGAAGAAGAAACAATCTTTTATAGCGCCTCTCAAGTTAAAAATCACGAGGCGCTTCAGAGAACAAAAACATTTTAAATTTAAAAATGATTAAAAATATCATAAAAATGGTAAAAGTGAAAAAATGTGATTAAATTATGTGAGGAAAGGGAAAAGAAAAGGACTAAGAGAACAGTAATCAGTGGATCCTGGGAAAGGCCGAAAGAGCAGAGTGAAGAGGAGGTAGTGATGAAGGTCACACCAAAGCCTGAACAAGTGAGTCTTCAGCTGCTTTTTAAAGGAGACCACTGAGTCCACTGATCTCAGGCTCAGGGGGAGAGAGTTCCAGAGTCTGGGGGCCACAGCAGCAAATGATATGTCACCTTTGACCTTTAGCCTGGTGCTGCACAACCAGTAGGCTTTGATGACTGGACCTCAGGGACCTGCTGGGGGTGTAGGGACTAAGAAGATCACCAATGTAAGATGGTGCTTGTCCATGTAAGGCCCTATAGACCAGAACCAGGATCTTGAAATGAACCCTGAAGTTGACTGGCAGCCAGTGAAGCTGGAGGAGAAGCGGGGTGATGTGGGTGTGTTTGGAGGACTTGGTCAGAAGCCGAGCACAGGCGTTCTGAACCACCTGTAGACGGTTCAGGGAGGTTCTGCTCAGACACGTGAAAAGAGAGTTACAGTAGTCTAAGCGTGAGGAGATGAAGGTGTGGAGAACTGTCTCAAGTTCAGAGCGGGACAGAATGGGACTCAGCTTAGGAATGAGCTAAAGTCAGAAGCAAAGACTGCACATGTTTGTGTTTGGAAGGTTTTGGCATCTCTGTGGCAAACATGTAATCTAGAAACTACAGACTGTGAAACAAAATACAGCCTGGCATTTGTAGCTGTGCATACAGGTACTGGGTACTTACAGGACTAGTAACAAATCAGTACTGTGGTACATATGGGTACGGATACATACAGGTATAGGTATAGGGGGGTGGTCGTGCCCAAGCACACAATAACTGCAAACAGTTTATTTAAGAGTTAAAGTGTTGAAAAGCCTTTTCCTACAGAGCTGGTGTAGTGGTAACTTGTTACTGGTACTGGTTACTCTTAGATAAGACAACTGTTTGATGAGTGTTTCTGAGCCACATGAACATTTTCACACATTAGGAAGAGTTGCTAGCCAGCATAAGCTAATGTATGTTTCCTCCAGTCACCTTGGTGACAGCGACAACCTCTCACCATCCTGACAGGCCTGTCCAGTTCTCTGTGGACAGTCACACAAGCAGACAAAACATGTATGCAAACCGCTCATCTGTGAAGTAGCATTTAGCAGAGGTGCACGATATCCAGTGTGGCTCAAGTGAGACATGGTGCACTCTCACTAATCTGTGCAGATCATTAGAATAGACTTTATTGTTCCCCCAGTGGGGACATTTACTTGTCCTATATTCATTGTCTTCAGGGTTCACATGGAAACACAATATTCTAACAAATCCACTGCAAGCAATGAAAAAAACTTCTCTAGCAAAAACGTTAGTTTAATAGTCGGTTCAAAATGATACTAAAAGTTAATAAAATCAAAGTCACCGTGTGATTTTTGACCCATCATAACATGAGATATTGCAATAAATCAGTCTATTAATATTTTAAATTCCTATTAATTTTCATAAAATTGCAGATAACAGTGAATAATTAAGGTCACGGAGTCTTCCATCTGCTTATAAAGGCCTGCTGCAGCTCGGGGAGACGTGGTTTTAATGTGGATTATCTCTTGCGGTTTTTCACGGAGTTGTTTGTGATCCTTCTGTGCAAATCGAAAACACTTAAAACATGAACGTTAAAGTCCCATTAGTCATTTGAGCCATCCCCGTTGGGAGCGGTGGGCTGCAGCTATGGCTGTGCTTGGGGAAGATTAAAAGTTTAAAACAAAGCTCTTAACATAATTTCTTACAGATGTTCTACTGAAGCAAGTACGTGTAACACTACAGCTGTTTAACTGCAACAAACATCAAGTTGTTATAAATTTCAATTCAATTCAAAAATACTTTATTAATCCCAGAGGGAAATTAGAGCATATTTGACAGTTTAATGGATGAGTAATCTTTTCTTTTTTTGTTTTTTGCATTGCTGGATTGTGCAAAACAAATTTAACTACTAAAACATTTTGAAGGCTAATTTGATCGATATATTGATGCACAGGGAACTACTTTTTTCCTTGCAGTTAGTGTTTTTTTTCCAGAGCTTGGCAGCTGAATTATTCCATTCCTGGTCTCAGTCTGAAGTTTGAGGTTAGATGTTCGTTGCTAAAGGAAAATGATGCCCTCTTGTGGTCAGAAATGGATATCCCTTTACCAGAATTGTGTTTAGCACACATCACAGTTCCCTGCCTAAAAAAAAACACATGCAAATGCAAAAATTTAATAGGAAGCACAGAAAATGCCAGCTTAAGCTCTCACCGACACACCTATACTATTTATATAGCGCCTTCACATGGCCCAAGGATTAGCCTGTAATATATGCTGCAGGATTAGCCTGTAATATATGCTGCAGGATTAGCCTGACACACAGAACAAGGGCTCACGTTAAAAATGATGCTCACTTTACTTTTATTACATTATTTTCTTTACTTTCAGCAGCAGTGAAGGATTTTATTTTTAACTTAGTTTATTAAAAAACCCAGACATCCACAATTTGACCAAACAAGCAAACAAACAAAAAACTCAGCAAACAACACATGAAGTGTCTTTCAGCGTAAGACTTGGACGCCAACAGAACCACGTCTCTGCTGATAAATGTGGACTCTACAGGGGGATGCCATCAATGGTTTCAGCTGAATTTGGCTTTAGAGAAATCCATCTCTGGGTGCTGAGCCATGAACCTGCAGCAACACAAATAATAACCATAATAAACATCAAAACTTACATTTTATGCTTAAAGACGGTCTGAACTGTGAAGGCAGCTGGAGAGAGCTGTGGTTCTGGTACTGCTGCAACACTGCTCACTTACTTCTTAAGTATATCTTGTTTCTTCTGCTCCTCAGATGTAGGCAGACCCATGGATTTCTGCCTCTGGTCATACATCATCTTCTCCACCATCCCACGTGTCTCTCCGTCCAGGTCTGACAGCTGCTCAGCAGGAAACACATTTGAGTAAAATCATGAAGAAGTGTTTTTGTCACTGTAGAAATGCAGCCCATCCCTGTACCTTCGAGTTCTCTGGGCAGATTTTCTTGGTGTTGATCTCCGGGTCTGTGGTAATAAACTTGCTCCACCACTCCATCTTATTAATCTGCGAGACAAACATTAGCATTTGTTTTAAAGCTGTGACAACAGAGAGATGTTTTTCTTTGTTAACGTGACTCGTTGGGGCCTTACTTTCTCCAGGTGGACGGTAACCACCTTGCCATCATCTAGGAGCCAGGAGCTCTCCTCCACCTTCACTTCGTTGTACAGCTGGCAGTCGATAACGGGTGGGTGACCCTTCAGGCCCACCTTGATGGAACGCCGCTGGATGTCCACCACCACATCTCTTCCCTTGATGCGGAACTTCACATCAAAAGGCACCACCAGCTGTTGGAGAATTTCCAAAATTCAAAAACGAATGTCAAGCAATAAATAAAAAGCTGCAAGATGTGATCACTTTGGTCTGTATGCATGAATGTAGAGATATGAATGAAGACCTAGAAGTGTTTACATTCTAGGGCTGGGGGTAAACGATTATTTTTAAAACGATTATTCTGACGATTATTTTATCCAATAGTCGACTATTCTAATGACTATTTACACAATTAATCTAATGATTATTTTTCTATTGCACAGTTAATAAAAACCAGAAAATCTCAAATTCCTCAAAAAAATTGATAAATTCTTACTGTAAGAGAATAAACACTACAGGCCTTCCATTTTGTATAACACTGCGTTTATTGTGTTGCGGTTGGTTATGTTCTGGTGACGTGTAGAACTTGGGAGTGCAGGCTGCTGCCTGAGAGGTGGTAGAAGATGGAGTGTCTCCATGCTGCTTTGTTTTGGTCACTTATGTGCGTGAGGCGAGTGGTCTTACAGGTTAAACCAAACTCAAGGTGATATTTTACACTAAACCGAAAACCCACAACACTCTAAATGTAATAAAAGGGAGATCTACACCACAAAAAAGATGAACTCTAAACCAAAACGTAACCGCTTATCCCAACGCAAGAAGCTGTTAGCGAAGATGCTAACAGTAGCTTTACCAACATTAAGTTCAAGTTACCAAGTTTAAATAAACCAAAAACACCCAGCAGCAAACAGACCAGCACGGAGGAGAGACTGCTACCACCAAAACAGCTCTCCTCATGTCTGAAAGAAGCTCCTTAATGAAGGGAGAAACGCTCCCGGTGATTTTCTACATCTGCGATAGACACGAAGCAGCGCGTCTGACCCCGGAAGTTGTTGTCCGTTGCCGGGAGACGAAGGCGGGCAAAACAGGAAAGGAATCTAGTAGCGGATGGACGTTGTTCCGGGTCTTCGGTATTTGGCGGAGATGTTAGTGAAGGCGGAGAAGAGGGCGAACTACAGAAAAAACAGGCAGATTCCTCCTCTATTTACAAACTCCTGGGGATGCAACAAGTGGGCGCGGTGCGTCGACTTCCGGATCTGACGTCGACGAATTTTTAGAATCGAGCCGTCGACGTTGTCGAGGCTTCGCTACAGCCCTACTACATTCAAACAAAAACCCAAACTAGACAACTCACGTCTACGTCGGACAGAGTTTGTGTCCACTTGTAGTTTGGCAGGTCAGCACCGTTTCCTGAATTAGGCTTCAGCTTATCCTTATCCTTCTCGTCCTCCTCTCCGTCAGAGTCAGACTAAATAAAAAAAAAGACAGATCAAGTCGGGAAAAGTTCATTTTACTGCTCATAAACACCTCAAAGTTGTCCACTCACCCCCTTCTCTTTCTCAGCCATCTTTTCTTCAACTGCCGTCACATTCTTCCGCTTCTCCTCTTCCTCCTTTTTCTATTTTCAACAAATAAATATGTCATTCTGTTCTAATGTGTCAAACTATTAAAGCATCCAGGTTCCACCTTATCAAGCTCAGACTGAAGCTTTTCTGCCTCTTCATCAGTCAGCTCCTGAATTCGTGGCCCATCTTCATGTTTCCTCTCCTCTTCTGCAAGTTTGGCCGCTCTTTCAGCTCTGTCCTTCTTCTCCCTCTCCTGTTTCGTCTGCTTCTCTTTGTGAGCCTTTAGAGCCAGCTTGCTGTGGTGATCAAAGGAATCCTTGACCAGCTGGAAGGGATAAGAGTTGAAAATCGGAAGCAAATGAATAAATGAGGTTATTTCTGCCAAAATCATCCCAGAGGCCTAATAATAATAATAATAACAATCAATATTCACCTTCTCTGCAGCTCCTGCATCCCCACCAACAAAGAAGTCAGTTTTGCGTCGTAGAAAGCTGAAGAATGTATTTACTAACTTTGGGGGGGTGGGGGGGGGGGGGGGGGGGGGGGGAGAGAAGCAAATTTCTCATGAAAATTAATCGTTAACTTTCTACAGAGCAAAAGTAAGATGTTGTCATGGCTAAAGTGGTCTGAATAACATATGTCCACACTCTGCAGATATTAAAATATTGGCATATTGTATAAATCTAAAACCCTAGAATGTTTTTTCTTATGGATTTATTAATTAAAACAAAGAAATATCAGTATTATAACATATTTGCCTAAATTCAATTCAAGCACTCCCAAGGCGAGTTTTAAAGACTACCCAGAACTGTTGATTTATACATGAAAAAATACTAAATGATTATTTCAGTACTTTGTCTAATAATTGTAAATATTATAAAGCTAAAACCAATGTCAGTCATTTTCAAGCACTTTCAAGGACTTAATAAAACCTTGAAAATTGATGTGGCATTTTCAAGCACTTTACACTTCTAATTGTTTTCTAGGCCCTTCAACGTGAAAAAGCTTTACCTCTACGTATTTTTAAGCCAATTAATCAAACATGCATAAAACGTGTTTAGATTTTTCTGCAAAAATCTGTCTTCACTCATCTTGTACAAAACAGCAGCAACAAGACATTTGGCTATCAGAATGTTTATGAAGGCATCAACCTCCAACAGGAACAATGCACTGCGTCGTCCGCGTGACAGACATGTTAGCTTAAATACTAGCATAATAGCTGTAGCATCACGCTGACTTACCTCTTGTACTCCTCCTTCGTGCTGTTGTGCCATGACGAGCAGCATCCCGTCATATTTTTCCTCCTCGTCACCCATAATGATCTTGGTAGAAACGTTCACTATTAGCCACGCTACTAAAAAAAAAGATAGCTCTTCAATAATGAGAAAACTCGTTGTCACACTTAGTTCCTGGAAGCAAGCCACGCCCACGGTTTACTTGACCAATAGAAAGAAGAAATCGTAGATGACAAAAGAACTGTCCAATTAGATGAGAGCATTGGGTAAAACGGGACAGAGGCGTGAGAATTTTCTAGAGAAGAGTCACGTGATTGTAAAATAAACTGAGATTCTCATGAAAAAAAAGCTACTTCAACTTCAGTTATTGGTCATAAAAACATGAACTGTAAAAGAAATAGGTAAATATGGAAAACATCCAAGAAAAAAAGAAATCGAAATCCAATTAATATCTAGTTTGTTTAAAATCTGCCCTAACCGTGGGGTTTGTGATGTATTTAACCAGAAAGTAATGGCTGGAATAGCATTATTTTAATCTCCATCTTTAAAAACCTCTAACATGCTGTGCTGTTTCACACAAGGCAATGCAGGTTTGGATTTTGTTCTCTCCCTAAACAATAAAAACCATCATTTCAAAACTACATTTTGTGTTTACTTGTGTTATCTTTGACTAATGGTTAAATGTGTTTGATGATCAGAAACAGTTTGTGTGACAAAAAGGCAAAAGAATAAGAAATCAGGAAGGGGCAAATAGTTTTTCACACCAGTTTTTGATGAGCATTTTTAACTCAGAAGTACCCCTGAAGGAGTAAGTTGTTCAAAACTTATTTTGAGCCTGAGAGGGTAAGCTTATTTCAAAAATACTATGCTCCAGCCTCCTGTATTGTGCAATAGTATGCATGTCATTACATGCCTCTCAGACTTCCAGTATTTGAGCAGTACAAAGTAAAATGAGCATTTCTGTTGTGTTTTTGTTCCAGTGTAGATTTAAGAACAGGAGTGATGTGTTTGGTTTTCTTGGATCTTGTTAAGACTCTAGCAGCAACATTCTGAATAAACAGCAGTTATTTCGCAGCTTTTTTGGGAAGACCAGTCAAGACCATTACAGTAGTCCAGCCTGCTGGAGATGGAACGCATGAATGAGTTTGTCTAGGCCTGAACATGAGACTTCTGAGTCATGCTATATGGTGAAGATGATAAAATGCTGATCTAGTTATAGCCTTAATGTGACCAGTAAAGCCGAGGTCAATTATGACACCACAGATTTCCAACCTGGATCTTTGTTTCTATCCCTCTGGAGCCAAGTTGAGCAATAACGTAGCTCCGACCTTTCTTAGTGGCCTAGTGGGAGAGTGTCCGCCCTGAGACTGGGAGATCAGGGTTCAATTCCTGGTCGGGTCATACCAAAGACTTTGGAAAAAATTAGACCCAATGCCTCCCTGCTTGACACTCAGCATTAAGGGGTTGGATTGGGGGTTAAACCACCAAATAGTTCCCGAGTGCGGCTGTGTCTGCTGCTCACCGCTCCCCCAGGGGATGGGTCAAATGTGGAGAACAAATTTTGCACACACACCTGTGTGTGTGACAACTAATGGGACTTTAACTTTAACCTCAATCCTATCCATCATATTTCCAAAGACAATAACTTCAATCTTGTCTTTGTTTAACTGGAGAAAGTTTGGCTGCATCTAGTCATTGACTTGTTCCAAACGCTGACAGAGTGAGTTAGGTGATAAAGCTAGGTAGATCTGGGTGTCATCTGCATAACTATGATAGGCAGTGCTGTAATTACCAATGACCTGACTCAGTGGGAGCATGTAGAGATTGAAGAGAGCAGTGCTCCAATAATTGAGCCTGGGGGACCCCACATGTCATGGTGATCTGCTTTGATTTGTGATCACCAATAGAAACAACACAACCCATCTTGGGACCAACTATGTACTGTGTCTGAAGGTCCCACCCAGGTTATGAGCCTATCATGAAGGATGTTGTGGTCCACAGTATCAAAAGCTGCACTGAGATTGAGCATTATCAGAACAGATGTGTTGTCTTAATCCGAATTCAGACAAATATCCGAAGCTAAAAGAACTTTAATATTTAAAAAGAGGACATAATGAACATTGCAAAGGACCAGACAAATATGATTACAAATACTGCACTAACCTTACTGGAAGCTAGCATTTTAGCCAGATCGTCGCTGTGTGGCTGTAGCATTTGTCTGGTTGTTTGGTTGACATGAAGGAATGAATGGCTAATCTGATGTTTAGGATTTTCTCATTGAAAAAGGCTGAAGTCATTACACCAAGTTGGTGATATGAAACGTGGGGCTAGGAGATCAGTAACATCTCACAAGAAAAATGGCACCACGTGAAAAAGGATGTTCCTCTAATAAAAATATTACATTTAACTTGTTCATGAATGAGAACCACCATTTGGGTGCAGTTAATCAAAAACTATCTTTCATATCTAGTTTTAAATAACACCCTAAAGAAGCCCCCTCATTAATCACTTTGGATTATATTCTAATAAGACAAATGATGTTTAAATACAGCTGAGTTCAACTGTTTCTATAGTACATGTATATAAAAATATTAAATGTACCTGGTGTGATCTCAAAGACAGGTAAAACATCCTACAACAGGACAAAAGACCAGCTTTAGTTCTTCTTTAGTGGTTATATTTCTTATTGGCAAATAGAGACAAAACATAAAACATTAAGATAAATCTTTTACCTTTTACCTCCATGCAGAAAATATTAAACTACATTAACAGATTAGTTAGCTTATGATAAAAACAGCAGACAGACTGCATAATATCCTACAACGGTATAAACACTTTTTCTGCATTTGAAATATTTCAAACTCTTAATTACATGTACTCAATTAATGAATAACAAAGGTAATGTGCTGTCTCAAACAATGTGCCCGTTTGGGACATAACAGACTGATGTTGCTTCCTTCACACTAAACAAACCTGGCTCATTAGTCATTTCTCCGAGCTAACCAGCTAACCACAACATCAATGGATGGATTAACCAACATTCAGAACAAAAGCCTACATTTCTTTTGACATTAAGGTTATTTGTCTTTTAGTGCATCACAAAACACAAAAACTCAGCACAAGACCATCATTTTATCGTCTGTTTTCGTAGAACAATTAAACCTACCTTCATCTTTTTGACACTACTGCCACTTTGGGTAGCAGAAATGCCTCGAACATCAATGTAAAATACAATAATAAAAAACAATAAAATAAGAGAAAAATAAGTACATGCATGTTCAAAATCAGACACTGAATTAAAAACGATTTAACTAAAATCAATTTTGACAGTGAGGGCATGGTGAAATGTGCAATAACACAAAGAAAAACAACCACACACAATACATTTAAAATAAACCACTGTATAACAAGCGCATAATAATCAACCCCAAAAAGATAGGTCACATTTCAAAACGACTTCACAAATAAAAGGGAGGTTAATTGTCAAGATAAACTCAAATCTTTAGGACAAGCTCCCAATCCTGCCATCTATTTACAAGCCATACATATCTACATAGAGCCCTGAGTTGACTGAAGTCACATTTCCTTTCTTCCACAACAAAGCATGGCCTCTTGAGGGAGCTTGGCTCTGCCAGAGACCCCAGTGCAAGTAGTGTCTCCTTTCAACTTCCTGCATGTGACCTTGTGGACACAACAAGACTTTAAGGATGGCTGAACTATGTCCTGATTGAAGAGTGGATTAGTGGGATGCCTGAAGAATCCATCTCCGTGTTATAAGGTGAACTTGAAGAATGACCTATGAGAACATCAAAACAAACACACCAGCATAAATTTTAATGGGCAGTGACCATCTTATTTAGGAAAGATTGCATAAATATACGCTGGTTGGAATGAAGTTCCTTGTGCATCTGTACCAAGCAAACAATAAAATGGAGTCTGTGTTCAGTTTTATTGTTCTTAATTTAGTTTCGTTCTGCACAGCGTCTCAGTTGCAGTCTGAAACCTTCACACTACAGTGAATAAAAAAGGATAACAGAGAAGAGTCTGCACATTTAAATCACAAGGGGCCTTGAGTGTTAAGTGTGTGCATGTACAAAATCCTGGCAAACAACTTTTTCCACCCAACAATCCAGAGCTGTCAATTATGAGGTGAGTGGACAAATGCACTGCTTCAGTTTTGTTTTACTTAAAAATATTCACTGAGACTTATACGGGTCAAACCCCTATCTCACTGGGCTGTGACCGTTAGAGACAAATTGGGACTTTCCAAAATGTTTGCAGGTTTTCACGTAACCAGCCACACTAAGTAGGCTGTAGCACAAAAAGGAATCAGCTAAAGTGCGGATGAAGTGATTTTCAGTTACATCTGAGAAACTGTTCTGGTGGGTGGGCTCATCAAGTGGGCTCACCCACTTGTGGTGCAACTATAGTAAGGTAGTGATGAAGAAGCTTCAAGTGGCTTTTCAGGATGCTTTTAGAATCCTCATGAAGCTCCCTAGATGGACCTCTGCAAGTCACGTTTGTTGTGAGTAACATCCCTACTTTTCATGCGCTTCTGAGGCTCTTCATGTATAAATTCATCCGCCGACTGAGTTTGTCAGCTAACGCTGTTGTTAGAGCTCTGTCATCTTTAACTTACAGTGACACGAGGTACTCCTCAGTCCTTTTTAAACATTGGAACAACTGCCTATATGGTTTGTAATTAGAATGTGTTTTTTACTTTTATTTTATTCTTGTTATGGACATATCCCTTGTCTGAAATAAAGTTTGAATGAATGAATAGCAGGAAAGCCCCTAAAGTTAGATATGTGAGACACAAAAGTAAAACAGGTTTATCTGTGCAAGGAACAAGAGAAGAGCAGGGTGGTCTGTAGAAGACACAACCGTAAAGTAGCAATTTGGTACCTGTTAGTAGCGGGAAAGCCTTTCAATCAGGCCGAGACAACTTGAGCCATGCTGTAGGTATAGAGCAGGGGTCGGCAACCTGTTCCCATCAAGAGCCAGTATTACCCGTTTCCCACAGTAAAGAAAACACTGGGAGCCACAGCACAGCGCTGCTTTAACCAATCACAACAGGTGACAGCAGCCGGTACCGGTCGCTCGTGTACGTCAGAGTTATCTTTCATAAGACGATAATCAATAAAACGATTTATATAAAGTGGATCCAGAAGTTGTAGCCCGTCTCTGCTACAATATTTAGATATTTGTCACCCTGTTGGTGGTTTTACTGAGCAGGTGCCACTTTTGTCATACGTTTCTTTTTAAAACATGTTTAGACTGTTCAGAATACAAATTCAGGCTCTGTCACGTTTGATTGTTGTAATTAAACTTTGTAGGTGGGGAAGGTCAGAAAAGGATCCGATCATTTTGTTTTTCCCTCATTTACAGCGACGGAGATAACGGCGCAGTGCGCCTGGCTCTGGTGGTAATCAAGTTTAATTTGATCTATTTTCACAAGAAAACAGAACAGTTAAAAGCAGGGCTTGTGTTGACCGGATAGTTCCCGTATTTGGCCGTTTATTTTGACGGAGAAAGAATAGAAAGAATTACCCCGACGCATGCAGACGAACTGACACTTTATTCTACACACATCGCAGATGTAGCTAAATCACCCAAGAAAAGATTGCTATCTGAACATCTGAGCTGGACACTGCTCAGCGCAGCTCGCTGTCAGCGTGAACTACATAAGGTCCACAGCAAGCTGAAGATGTGGAGATTGGCTTGGAGCGCGTTGCAGAACCAGAGCGCATGCAGGAAGATTCCTCCCACTGAAGCAAGTGTTTTCCAAACCCGGTCTCTCAGAGAGACTTGTCACTTAGAAAATGTTCCCTGATTATGAAACTTTGGCTGAATAGCGCTTGTTCCTGTCTCCAATGTGGCGACACATCCAGGAGCCGTCTGAGGAGAATCCCAGAATCTCACATCCTCGTCAGCCCAGGAAGCGTCTATGATTACGCACAAGCGTGACGCGTCAACCCGGTCTCACAGTAAGACCGGGTTGGACCTGTTCAGGTTCACGCAGACAATCTTTACATAGAATTGGCTTACAGATGTAAAATATAAAGCATTTTATTTAAATATCCATTCATTATTTTACAAGCACAGAGAGCCGCATCAGATGGATGGAAGAGCCGCATGCGGCTCCAGAGCCGCGGGTTGCCGACCCCTGGTCTTGTGTCTCCAAGCAACAACAGTTGCAGCCCAGTGAGACTGGTCTTAGCTACGGTTTCACATGGGTACTTTAGAGTACATTATCAATGCTACATTAAAACTGTACTTTTAAAATACAAATTGCAAGTGATCAGGACTTGATTTACATTCAATTTCAAATGAAATATGTTGTTTTAACTTTAGGTAAAAATAAAATTGAACAAGGCTTACCTCCATTCGTCCTCCACATTTCTCTGGCAAATTTATCAGAGGAGGTTAAATCTGATATTTGGATGTTGGGATTTGACCTGTAGTCATCTTTTCAAATAGGCAAAAACAATTAAGAGGGATTCTTATTGGCAGGAAAGAAGCATTTTCTTTATGTTGAGTACAATCTGTGGCTACTTACTGTTGATGCTCAATGAAAAGGAGGGGGTGGTATTCATCGTCTCGTGCCCACTGTCTGACAATGTCCTCTCCATCCTGGATATGGGCAGCCTCTTCTTTGTGCTTTTGCGGGTGCTGATACGAATGATGCCACGCACCAGCCGGCACTCAGCTTCCTGCTCGTCCATTTTATGCTCCTCAGCCAGGGAGTTGATCAGCTGGGTGATTGCTTTGCTCTTCCTCAGAAACGAAGAATCAGAGGTGCACCTGGCCAGCTCTTCAATCTGATACTCAGAGTAGAGCTCCAGCAGTTTCTTGGTAATAAGGGAGTCCACGTTCTCCTCCCCATCTTCCCAGTCATCAAACATTGACTCATGCAGCGATCCGGGCTGAGTTTGAACAGGTGGAGGCATGTATGATGAGGAATGGGGGTCAACATACAAATATTCTTTTGGACTAACCACTTTAACGCCATTAATGTGGAGATCAGACCAGCCTGTGTCAGCTTCCTCCTTGTTGTCTCCCGATTTGACCCTTTTGGGGCTCATTTTCACCGGTTCATCTGGGGAACTCTCATTTGGGGCCAAGCATGGGGCGAGGATGGAGCAATGACAGACCCTGTACAGGCCACAGGTGATCACGCTGCACACAAAGGTTTTGCAGCTCCTTGAAGAACAGCAGGGATTACAGGTTCCTGCTGCGGATGAGCGCTCATCAGAACCAGGAATGAAGCGGATGGTCTCAGATTCTTTACCATTCGCGTCTTTAAGGTGTGCTTTATGGTTGGCCTTTGGCTCTGGGGAAAGTTGACTACTTTCCACAGGGTCCACACAGCGCTCTTGGTGAAAGGACACTTGGCTGCCATTCTGCGGCCCTGAGCTGCGTCTCAGAGTGCCGTTGCTGCCAGCAGACATGACTCCCTCTCTGCAGGAATTCAAGGACAAACATGAAGAGGACAATCAACTCAAGGTCATCTGAAAATCAGAGCAAAAACAAATTGATTTAACAACATGCCAGGTGTCAATCTAGTAAATTTGGGAAAAATCTAAAATCGCCCGCAGCAATATGAGGTCATCTGTCTTTTCATAACAAACACAAAAACCACTGCTTCCAGGTACCAGGTAATGTAACCCAACAGGTTAGTTATGGATGGGTGCATACCACATTACCATGATATGATGTCATTGTGCATTTCAAAATGTGTTAATATTTCAGTGTTTCCAACAATAACTAGCCTACATTTTTATTAAGTTTTTCCTTCTACATAAAACTCCAATTAGCAAAACTGATCTGAATGTATTTTACTTTTCTTACACAAAAATATTAAATGAAAATATAAAAAAAGGCAAATTAGAGAAATTCTAAAATGTAGCAAATAATTAATACATCTTTAGGTATTATTCGGGTATTTCACCATTAAAAGGCTATTAGAAGGTAAAGCAGAGTTGGTTGTTTTGTGCTGACGATTGTTTACGTCATACAACTTGGTTTAAATCCAGATTATTGTTTCACCATTTAATCTACATAAAGTGTAACCATCTGATTAGCTATCTACACGTTATAATGAGTCGAACATTCGCTCATAATAGCTTCTATGCGATAATTGTTGCTTTTACTTTACATGGCGACTTGCCATTCGCTGCTCCTTCCTCCATTTCAGGACTAAAAGATATCTCACCTATGCTCAGATTACGGTGCGTCCTCAGGCTGACTGCACAGGTTAGTCCGTGAGCGACAGGTAGACATTTATATTTTTATCCATTTTGACAAGCTGCTGTATTCAGTCCACTCCGAAATGCAAGTTTCGGAAAAGTTTTCTGCCGAATCCGTGGACCTGTGCGTCAAAGTGCAGGAAGCGAACCAGGTAGCTGCAGCAACAGAGACTGAACTTCCGGCTAGGAGTGTTTTTAAAAACTACAACTCAGGTGAAAATACAAATATTGTTTTTTTTAAATATTACGTATTATTTCTATTAATTTATATTTGATCTTTAAAAAATTAAATGTGTATGTAAGCTCACATTTGAAAAAGAGAAATCCAAATGTTATGATTTCATGAGCTTTTATTTTTTAGTTTAGCGTTTCCGGTGTTGTATTCTTATGCCCTTTGTCAATCACCTCTAAACTCCATAGTGAAAAACAACAGCATCTGAATAATAAAACCAAAACAGAACTCATATTTTAATAGGCGTAGTCCATGTATTTTTAACAAAATGTATTATTTGAAATCCTTCAAACATGCCGTGTATGCTTTCAATAATAATATGCTTTTCAATAATAATAATAATAATAATAATAATAATAATAATAATAATAATAATAATAATATATTATTATTATTATTATTATTATTAAGTGGATGTAGTTTTAACTATTTGTTCAATTTTCAACTTGTGTATGCAGAATATTTTATAATAATCCCACCAGCAACGATAATAATAGTAATAATAGTAATACAGAAAAACACTTCCGCTTTCTTCCAAAACAAAACAATTTTATTTTTTAAGGTAAGCGGAAATGATTTTTTCTGTAGTTCCGTGGGGACAACGCTTGCGTTGGCAGGTCAAAATAAAGTCTAGTTTTTAATGTTGCGCAATACGAATAAAACAAGGCGATTGTGCTTTATTTGGTTTCATATATGTGGTATCTGTATTCAGATTTAACGACAAACTGTGGTTAAAGTGTCTGAGTAAGCTAGGTAGTCAGCATAGCGTCAGGTTCAGATGCTAAAGAGCTCCACAGCTGTGGAGGTGGCGGAGCTAAGATGCTAACCATGGACAGACAGCGGAGCATCGCTCGGATTTGGATTGGGCTTTCCTGAAATATAAAGAGGAGGGATGGAACATAAGACTCTCGAGACTCTGTGTTATTTACGGAACGCCCACAGTAAAGGGAAAGCTCGTGTTCTGTGTGGGATGACCACGATCGTCAGCCTCAAACGACACGGCATCCGGTGATGCTGTCGGCGGTTGCCCTGACTGGGACAGAGCAGCCTCTCTCCTCCACAAAATCATGAAAAGCTGCGACTATCAGCAAATCGACCCGCAGGCACTCCGGACGCCCACCCCCCAGCCCCCGGCTCATCACGGTGGAGGAACCGGCTCAGAGAAGCCAGAGCAGCCGAGGAGACCCAGGAGAAAATGGGAAGTTTTCCCCGGGAAGAACCGCTTTTTCTGCGATGGACGAGTCATGCTGGCCCGTCAGAGCGGGGTCCTGCCCCTCACCCTGGGCCTCATCCTCGTCACCAGTGTTTTATTTTTTATATTTGAGTGGGTTTTATTTACCTCCTGCTGCTTTTTTCAGTAAAAAAAAAAAAAAAAAAAATATATATATATATATATATATATATATATATATATATATATATATATATATATATATATATATATATATAAAACCTTAAACATGCTAAACGTTCTTGGCTTGTGTTGTTATATTTCCTTTACAGTGGTTGAATATATATTGGTTTGACAGATTTTGCTACTAAACACTTTTACACCACAGAGTAATATAGAGGAGTGCTTACTCATGAGTATGTGGTGAAATGTGTGCCATGTCTCAAGGGCTTTAGCTGGTAATTATAAGCTGCAGTTTTTAATTGAGATCAGCTCTGGTAAGGGAAAAAAATCTGTTTGTGACTTTTGATGAGGGCAGTTTCTGTCTAATCTGTCCATCATAGTTGTCCCTTCCTGGTCAAACACTTGACCACCTGTATCCCAGCTATTGGAGGGGTCCTTCTTGTGTTTGTGCTCATCACTTTGCTCCAGACCAGTTTCACCGACCCTGGCATCCTGCCTCGAGCGATGCCGGACGAGGCCGCAGACATCGAGAGACAGATTGGTAAGAGATGAATTAAGACAGAGGAGCAAATTAAGCAGTATCTGTGCAACCCTGCCTCTGATGTTGTAAAATATAAACACTTTTTTGTGTTTGTTACGTCTTATACCATCTGTTGAGCTATCTCTCCTGTTTATTTTGGTATTGGTATTTTCTGCATAGCTCACTTAAAAATATGACCCATGCATCTGAAGTTGGCCCCTTGTTCACTTTAAAACTTCCTACTCAATCCCAAAGTTTAGCCAGCAGTGATGTAATATGTGTCTCTTATTCAACTGGACCACTTTTGCTCCAGCTAGTTTTATGAAAATACACAAGACCTTTGGCCTCAGTATAAAAATTCATATTGAAGTTACCAGCAGTGGCAGCTACTGAAAGTATTTTTAGGTGGGGCTGATGTATGAAATATATCTTTTTAGTCCATTATAAGTATTTAAATGAACTGTTGGGAAATGGCTCCAAAATAAATAATTAAAATGCAGAAATTATTTTATAGCCCCAAAATAATGTACATGAGCATTTCTACCAAGCATTCACGTGTGACTTCAGTCCATAATGTCTATTTGTGTCTTATTAAGGAGGCAGTTTGTTTTACAGCTTTAGTTTTCAGTCTCCTACTGTGTGTGTGTGTGTGTGTGTGCGTGCGTGTGTGTGTGTGTGTGTGTGTGTGTGTGTGTGTGTGTGTGTGTGTGCCTTAATTAATCATCTGCTCAAAGCATGCACAGCTCAAAGCGCAATACTAAGTTCCACCATTAGAAGGCATTACCACAGCATGAAAGTTGAATTAGGAAACGAGTTTTAAACATTATAAAACGAGAACAAATAAATGCGTATTACAGCAGCTATGATTTCAGCTATCTATATAAATCGACTGTGAATTTGTGTGAATGAGGAAGTGACAGAGAGGGGACATGAGATACAGCACCTTTTAGCATGCCAGCTAGCTGTTTCTTTTAGCATGGGCGCTATCGGCCAGCACCCCTGAGACAGTAAATTAAGTTATGCTGATTGGTCAATAATCAACCAGTTTTCCCTAGCAACCAAACATGATTGGCTGTTCAGCTGCCGCTCAGGTTTCTTTTTTTTTTTTGCTAGCGCTACAAAAGTGAAACTAGTGAGTCAGTTGGGTAAATTTGCTGTTTAATGAAAGAGAGCTGGTGAAAATGATGTATAAATACACCAGATTACATGTAGGCAGACACAATTAAGCTAAACTGACACATTTATTGTCAATATATCTAAATATGTTGTAGATTGTAATCCCCCCCCCCCCCCCATATCCAATGGCGCCCCCAAGGGGTGGCCAGGGGTAGCCATGGCCACCCCTAGAAAATTGCTGCTCCCCCCCCCCCCCAGCAAATGCCAGTGTTAATAAATCATATTAATGTTCACTCAAACCATAAATGTATCTTATTTATTCAAGACACAGTTCTAAACAAAATAATAATAATACAGTCAATAAGTAAAGAAATAATCAGAATAAAGAAAAAATACATGTTTCTGCTGCTCACCATTTAAAAAAGTTGTATCTCCATAATTTTTTTGTTGAACACAGCAACAGGCGAATTAAACAAAAAAAACCACATTTAAAATAAAATTTGAAATAATTTCAATAACCGATATGTATTTTTCTGAAATGTTTGTGTTTGTAAAATTTAGGTTAAATGTTTTGAATACAAACTGTTGTTTTTTTATTTTTTTAAATAAAAATGAATAAAGGAGCAATGCAATATATCACCACAGGCTAAACTCTCCTAGAGTTACCCCAAGGACCCATTTGGTGTGCCACCCCAACATTTTTTTTGGTCTCATCTGGCCACCCCATCCCAATTTTCTGGAGGTGCCAGCGAGGGCAGCTCCCTTGCACCCCCATGGACAAGCCACCACTGGTTACTAGATTTCAGTGTTGAATAAGTAACTTTTGCATGTTTAATGTGTTTTTTAGACAACTGTGGAAACGCCAGTTATCGGCCTCCACCTCGCACCAAGGAAGTCCTCATCAACCAGCAAGTGGTCAAGCTCAAGTACTGCTTTACCTGCAGGATGTTTCGGCCACCACGCACCTCCCACTGCAGCCTGTGTGACAACTGTGTGGGTGAGCCGCACGCTCACACACACACACATTTGTGTATCATAAATAATAAAACAGTATTCACAGGGTTATGGTCATCATAATTATATAAGTAGAAAAGTCATTTTTTATATGATGATTTCATTCATGAAGGAAGCAAATCCTACCAAACTGATACTGTTTTTTACATCAGAGAGATTCGACCACCATTGCCCCTGGGTGGGAAACTGTGTGGGCAAACGCAACTACCGCTTCTTCTACACCTTCATTGTGTCGCTCTCCTTTTTGACGGCGTTCATCTTTGGCTGTGTGATGACACATCTGGCTCTGAGTGAGTGGCGTTGCATTGGATTTGTGGGTGCAAAAATACCGTCACATTTAACTGCAAATCCACCCGTATGTGCTGTGGTAAAGCAGAAACCCAGAGATTTTCTCAGAGGGCACCTAGCCTGGCAAGCCAGACTAAATAAATGTATTATTTAGTCTGGCCATGCTCCATTGACGGCTCTCCGTTGTGGGGCGGGTTCTACCGTTGTCTACTGGACAATGAATGTGACATACTCTTGTTTCACTCTGTTGCATCATCCCACCCACCAGGCATATAGAGTGCCCTGATTGGCCCACAAAGCGGATAAAGCTCTGTGATTTGTTCACTAAGCAGATAGAGCACTATGATTGGCCCACCATTATGGCCCAATCACAGCTCTTTATGTGTTTGAAACCCCTCTAGAGAGCTGTGATTGGCTAGCCAGAGTCCTGGTAGGAGCTGCTGAGGTTCCAGTGGAGCGTGCCTAGACCAAACTTTGCAAAGCAAGGATTTGGTCTAGTTCACTAGGCTATGAGCAGAAAAATCTTTTACACCTGAAGCCACTCTCCCTACTTCTGCGATTACGGCTGGAAGCAACGACTCTTGTTCATGAACGTGCACCTCTACCCAGCCAACAGAGCTAAAACACATAGTTTTTCATTTATTATTCTCACGGTTTGCTGTTTATTCATATAAGTATATATTTTAAACACTTGTTCATAAGAAATGTCACCAACTCTGCATCAGTCTAGGTACTTCCACAAATGCTCACGCATGCTCTGTGACTGATATCCGTATGGAAGCGAATATCTAACGCTATTGACTAATGCTGAACGCCACTAAATTCAAATTGCATGAGGCTCTACAGAACGGGTGGTGGGCTTAGCAAAAATAAAAAAATTACATATTGCCTACAGTGTAGAGTAAGAAAATGACTTTAACGGATTTTTAAAAGATACATAATTCCTGAAAGGGGAAAGCAGTGGATAGCTACTTTAAGGTGTTTTTCTGTAGAACATTAACCTTTACACATGAATGTTATCCCAAAAGGCCACTTCCTGTAATAAATGTGTGTTTTTCTTTATTCTAGGGGCTCAAGGTGGGAAAGGCCTGGTGTTTGCTCTTCAGGAAAGTCCTGGCAGATATCCTTTAATGGTTAAAGTGATGATGATTTCTTTACGAGACTCATGTTTTTATTGCAGTTCATTATTTAAGTCCTCCTTGACTCATCCTCCTACTGCAGTGGAGCTGGTTATATGCTTTTTCTCAGTGTGGTCTATCTTGGGCCTCTCAGGCTTCCATACATACCTGGTTGCCTCCAACCTGACCACTAATGAAGACGTGAGTCCTGATCCACTGTCCCATTGAACGTAGGTTGTGTTTATTTGTAAATAAAATTTGAAGTATAAATGCTTTCCAGATTAAAGGCTCGTGGTCCGGGAAGGGTGGAGAAGATGTCACCAACCCATACAGTCACAGGAACATCTTTACCAACTGCTGTTCGGTGCTCTGTTCACCTTTCCCACCCAGGTGTGTAGCCGGTGGGACAGGAGCAGAAAACTCATCACAGCCCTTTTTAGTCACATCCTACTGTTTATTCTTTAAAATAACCTACGCTCTCTTTTCTTGGCTTTCAGCTTGATTGACAGACGAGGTTTTCTTCCTGCAGACGTGCCGGCTCAGAGTAGCGGCGTGGCTGTTGAGCTGCTCGCTCCGGCTAGTAAAAATGAGAAGAACATGGTAGGAGGATCTTCTCAGCTGTGCTTTAACTCGTCTGATTCTGCCCCCCCCCCCCCCCCCCCTCTGCCCCTGCCTGACAGAAGCCTTGCTGCCTGCTGCTGCGTGAACGCTACCTCCTCAGATTAGACCTGTTCACCTCAGACACGTACAACTACTGTTACTGGAAATCAGTTGCATCGTCTACTTAATCTCGTCTTTTTCTCAGGGCTCAGGTTTTTGTTGCTATGACTTCATGGCAGCCCCCCCCCCCCCCAACAGCAGTGGGGGAAAACGATTCCTGCAGATGCATGATAATGATGATTATTTATTTATTTGAACATAGAAAAGAAATGTCAAAGTTGATGTCAGAGCTCCAAACGGTGAATTTGTTATTGATCTGGTGAACGTGTGTGTGTGTGTGTGTGAGAGAGAGAGAGAGAGAGAGATCGTTTTCAGCTATTTTCTGAGTGCGTTAACCGTTGTCCTGATTGTGCGTACATTGTTTTTCCACATTACTTTTTACATACATTCAGATGTATAAGGTATTTTTTATCTTTTTTAAATTTTTTCTTGTAAATTTAATTATATTTTTTGATGCTTTATATTTTATTTGATCTGTGTTTTTCTTCCTTTCTTTTATTTTCTGTCGTTCCTTTGTTTAATTATTTCCTTCTGTTGAATTTGTAGAATTTTTTTTGTAACTTTGTTTTTGAAAAAGATGTAAAAATTTATTTTGTTCCTTTAGTTTTTTTCACACCCCTCTCATTTATGTAGTTGCACATCTATTCATTCCATTAAAATGTATTTTTTGTCATAATTTACAGAGTCTGTCCTTTCATGTTTTTGCTTTTTCATTCTCACTCGTCACATACCAGTCTGTAACTTCACTTTACCTACAGATGTGGATAAAATTGTTGGTCCAGAAACAAAAATCCCACAATTTTGACTGGAAAAAGGAGGAACTGACAAAAGTAATTCATAAAAATAAAAAAAACCTGAAAATGAGCAAATGAAAATCAGACACTGATTCTGGATTTGTACCAGAATTTTGAACAAATTAAGCAGATTTACGTTATTATAGTGTATTTTATTATACAACAATGGTACCAACGGTTTAGTCCATGGCTGTGTATAGAAATCTGCTCGGTTTAGGATTGCTCTCTGTGTCTGTGTTCCATCATTGCCATCAGGAGTGTCTGAACTTTGTGGTGTCCTGCACTGGCTGATAAGTTGCTGTTAGTGCAGAAAACCATTGAGCTTGGTAAGCTTGTTCAGTCAGAAAGAAGAAGTGCATCATTCTCATATTTGCTGCTGTCACATGCGAGTCTCAGTTGGTGTCCACCAATCCATTCCTGCAAGCTTGCATCCCAGTGCTGCCCTACTGCATGACTCTTCAGTTCTTTAGAAGGTGTTTGAAACAGTGAATGAAACCTTACGACTAACATGCTGATGTCATTTGACCATTTTCATGCTGCAGGATCTCTGGAACAGACCTCAGGGATCATCAACATGCATAAAAACTAAATAGAAAAGAAAGATTGACAGAAACGAGGGTTTGTCGAGAAAGTGGATGTAATATCATAAAGAGCAAGTTCATTGCAACCATGTTTTCCTTATTTTTTAAAATGTTAATACTCTGCTACGCTGAGTTTAACATGCATGTTAATTGTGACAGGGAAGGCGGTTGTTGGTTTACCATCCAGGAAACAGCAGAGGACATCTTGAATAGTAGAAGCTAACAGTTCGCATTAGCACCTCCACAACAGGGCAACTCCTTCAGGCTTGTTTTATTTGTGGAGCAAAAACATCAATGTTGCAGAGCAAACAGAGTCAGTGGTAGAGTCGTGATGGTGCTAGCCAAGCAGACGGCAGACAGCAGAAAACAAGAGTCCAGAATCTGCCGTCTTCTGCTCCCCTCTTTCCTGGCTGACTTCTAGGTCCAGAAACAGGAGTGTCAGAGCTTTTGTCTCACAGAGACAGACTCACACGACAGTCATTTATTCTAGAGACTACTACAAATGTAACGCAAAAATAAGTGAACTTGGTCTTTAAAAACGTTGGTACCTTTGCTTTGACTTCACCAATTTGGCTCAAAAATGGAGACATTAGCATCTTCGTTAGCCTTTGTCCTAGCTCCTCGTGTTGCATAAAGAAAATCTAAAACTTGTAAAAACACTGGTATCTAAGTCTTTATGTTGAAATTGGAATTAAATTGTATCATTTGGATGTTATTCAGTTGATTGCTGGGACATAATAAAAATCGTCTAGTCTTTAGCTTTTTTCTAAAAATAAACAATGGGGTGATTTTATACCGCATGAAACCGGAGCTCCTGCTTCCGACCACCACAGCTTGCCTTATCAATGATCCAATCACCAGATCATTTTAATTTGATGCTGATCAATCAGTTTGCAACCTTTTTATGTCCTTCGTTTCTTCCCTAGTGAACACAAGGAACTAAAGGGTGGATGGAGTCCTCAGCTCATCTTGTCCTCAGGGGAACCCTCAAATAGCTCCTTCCTGCCCAAGCAACAATCCCTGAACTCTGACCCTTCGCTGGAGCTCTCTCAGAGCTGCAGGGCCCACTGTAACAGGCAGACCTGTGGAAATACCTCCTCTCTTGATAGAACCAAAGCTCGCTTTCATGAATGCAAATGAGCCACTTTGCTTATTCACTACTGGACCCCAATTTTTCTGTTCCTTTTCCGCCTCGGACTTGACTGCAGCTTGAGGCCAACGGCAGCCTGGATGGAAAGCACACGAAAAGCTGGAAGTAAAAAAAATGTAACAAGTCAAAAGTCTCTTTGGTGAAAAATGAGTTTAACCTCCTTGTAAGATTCACCAAATATCACGGAAATAACGACTTTGTAATTTAGAAACCTTTCTTTGAAGTGGGGAGCAGAAACGCTTCTTGTAATGTGAAATGAAAGCTTGAATACAAACTTTTTGTCTCATTATGATTCCTACTTCAGTGCACGTTTTAGTCATGTTTTCTTACAAAGAAACAGGATTTGTTCTCAATCTTAAGAAGAATTAGAGATTTTTTTCCCTTCATGTTCTGCACATTCTGGATAATTGATAGAACCATTTCACCTGGCTGTTTGTTTTTAAAGATCTCTTTGATCCCATAAGCAGCATGCAACTGATTTACACTCTTCATCTTTCCACTTTAAAGCAGTCACTGTTGGTTTAAATGCTGATCTGATTTTGTTGGTTGATGTTGATCCACAGTCGAAGAGAATGCACAATGTGAATTTTGAGTGGGTTTTCCCTTTAAGCTTGCATTACCAGTTAAATGTGTTTTATTTGTATTTGTGAACAATATGAAGTTTTATTGTTACAATGCAGAATGCAAATGCATGACAAAGACTAAAGATGTATTTTTTATGATGACATTTCATCTTTTGTTCTCCATGTTGCGCCTTTTCAAAGACCTGTGCTTGTTTGTAGAGGTGAATCAGAACATTCAGTTATTCTCATGCCTTTATTCCTAAAATGTGTCTGAGCAAAGGGGTTCATTCTCAGGTTGACAGTTTGGTATTAAGTATGCAAGTCTAATTCCGTGCATGATGCCAATAGCTGCACAAAAATGCAAAGACCCATCGATCTTCCTGCACATGCACTCTGCCAGTAGTGCACATAAACGTCTCACTTTTGTGGCATTAGTTGATTCAAAGCTTCATAACACCTCCGGTGACTTCAGAGAGTGAATCCAAGCAATGGATCCACGTGTAAAAATGTGCTGTTCATTACTTTTATGACCTGTTGGCCCCTTTCAGCCGATTTTCCTGTCAAAAATAATAAAAAACAAAAAGAAAGCACTCAAATAAGTCTTTTTCATTTGTTATGTGCTGTAGCTGACCACTAGGTGGCAACAACAAACTTCATGTAGCAGTGAAGTTAAAGATCAGTTAACGGTTAAACACACATATGAATAATATGTCAAATGTATTTAAAACAAATTGTTAAATTGAAACGAGACAGATTCGATATAGAAATTGAACAAACAATTATGTAAATACAGACATTTCCCCTCCTGAGTAGGGCCAGGGTGTGTTATGGGGCGATACGTGGACCCTGGAGTTTGCACCAGCAGTCAGATAGATGACTGAACCAGTGATATGACAGCTATGTTGTGTTCCTATTTAACTGATTGAAAGGTCCGACTGAGTGGTCCGGGGTGTGTTTGTGTTTGTGTGTGTGTGTGTGTGTGTGTGTGTGTGAGTGTGTGTGTGTGTGTGTGTGTGTGTGTGTGTGTGTGTGTGTGTGTGTGTGTGTGTGTGTGTGTGTGTGTGTGTGTGTGTGTGTGTGTGTGTGTGTGTGTGTGTGTGTGTGTGTGTGTGTGCCAAAGAAGAGGGGGCTCGCAGCCCAGGACGCCTCCTGAGTACCACTGATATACAGCATACTCTAATGATAAACAGGACAACTAGAAAAGAAATAAGAATAAAAATCTGATCTGAAAATAATAAATAAACAAAATTTCTGTCTGTGGAAGTTGATGTGCAGCAAAAAAAAATAAATAAATAAATAAATAAATAAATAAATCTAGAAAACGAGAGCCCACTCAGTTTGCTGTGGTGAAGATGGTGGATGGCAAGTCTCCTGATCTTTAATTTAGTCCAGATTCAATCGCCCCAAACCCAAAGCCTCTCCCAAACCTTACCCAACGCTGGTTTAGTTAACTAACCACAACCATAGCCTCGCCCAAGCTGTAAATACACTGCAGTTGTTTCATTTAACCCAAGGCAAACGATCGGGTTTTGCAATTAATTACAGCTGTAAAACTGCAGATATGAGAGGGAGCGTGTGGAAATGTCCCATCTAGATGAGAGATGGGGCAGCTCTTACGTTAGGCCTTGAGATTTGACAATCAAACAATAGCAAAAAAAATGTGATGGACAGTTCAAGATAACTTACGAGTCTCATGGTAAGAAGATCTCCATTGCTGTCCAGGACTTGAGGCTGCTTAATTTTCTCCTTGAAGTAATGAGGGTGGGGCGTGAGGGGTCCATTTTTATTTTCTTTGCTCTGGTTCTGTTGGTGTGAATGTGGCTGCTGGACATTTTTGGATCTGACGTCCACTCTTTGCAACACCTTATCCATATCTGCTCTGAGACAGCACTGTCATGAAACATGTCAGGACTCTTATTTGGACACTTTTCATTATTAGCATATCTAACTCCCCTCAGTTTTGTGATGGGTCAATGCTTCAGATGTTTGATCAAGATGGAATTTTCCCCAAATGTTTTTTTAGCTCTTCCACCTGGTGCAGTGACCCATTCCCAAGCCACCATTTTCCAGAACAATGGCTTCAGATTTGGAGGCGCTGATCCTCATTCGATCTGCTTCAACCTTTTCCAGTAAATGTTCAAACTTGGCTCAACGAGACCAACAGGACAATATCTTCTGCTGCTGGTCTTGCAAGGTCATGAAATGACTGGAGAATTGCAAGAATCCGCGCAATTTCGGCAGTTCACGCGATGACAAGCAAGGATCCATCCAGCATATCCAGAAAGCTCTGTGGTTCATTTCTGTTCTGTTTACCTCTGATACAGAGGTTACCCAGCTAATGACATACATGTTTCTAGTTGAGCAACAGGAAATCTGCATGTGACTGTTATTTTGAAAGTTTCCAGATATTTACACAGCTTTTTTGATTGCCTTCCTGTCTGGCCCGATTGGAACTGCTGAGCTTGATGTGTTCTGGAAGTGTAGCACATTAAAAAATAGGCTTGAAGCGGAACTAAAGTGCCGCTATGCTTCTAGGATCCATCCAGAATGTGATGCTATGCGTCCGGTGAAAACGCACCTAGTCGTGGTAACGGCGGCTAATTGCTGTGTGCTTTGCCGATGTTCCACGACGCTTATGCGTTCGGTGGAGAGGTCTGGTCACTCTTCATCATCCATACGTGTTTCTGAACTGCTGATGGTGGTCCTACTCCTTTCAGTTAAAACAAGATGCAGCTGTAGTTTTACTAATGCAGTAACAGTGTCTGTAGAAGTGCTTACCCGCTGTTCGCACTGCATGTGTCCTCACTCTGCAAACCCATTAAAGCCAAACTAATTTATATTAAGTTAATGCAAGGGAAGAAAATCTGCATGGTGCATTATTTTCCTATCTCACCCCATAAGGAGGCAATTGTTTCAAGGTTTTCCAGGTACTCACAACGCACTTTTGAACCCAGTATGGAGTCCTTTCCCATATCATCTACCCACAAGGTTTCAGAGACAGTATGAATCTGTAGGGGGCATTATTAATGGCAGACCACCTCTGAAAGACCCAGCTATTCCATTGTTTAACTGCAAGGCTTTGCAAAACCTGCACAACGCTGTATTGTTGCAGTCTATTTCACAAGGAACAATTAACACATCTCAGATTCAACACATTTATCACTTTTACAGCGTTTTCATATATCTGCCTCTGATAATTCCAAAAATGGACCAAAGAAATGTCCTTCTTCCTCTTCCCACCGAGTAGATATGGAGAATTTAAACATGACGATTATTTAACAGGTTAAAAATATTTAGAAAGTTTGAAGAGTGAAAAAAAATCTGGCCTTTGAGGCATTGAGGTCAACATTTTTGCATTCATTCCAAAATCTTCTAAAAACGCACGGATTACAAGTGAGAAGCTTCAAAGACGTCTACTTTGTCAATCTTGTGACATACTGCTCTCAACCGACATCAAACGAATGGACTCTGATGAATTTATGTGGCTATAAAGGAGAGTTTTGGGCTGAGCATAAACAGCTTGACATCTGTGCTCAATCTTTAGTGTGGCGTGTAATGAGGATCACAGGCCTTTGTTCTCCTCTAAAGAAGAGAAGAAGCCAGGTGGGGGGGCCCGCAGCGCAGGTAAACCATGCCTCTTTGCTAATGGAAAACATTAGGTGTGGGGAATTGAGGTTTTGCCGTTGAACTGAGGGTCCTACCTGTGGTCTTTAAAACCATGTGGTCTGACGATCAAACAAGGTGTTCAGCTGAAATCTTAACATTAAGTGCACCATGTTGTCTTTTAAAAATGTAAACCAAGCTGCTGACGGTTAAAAGGTGTTTTGTGCTTGACACTATTAGTGTCAGTCGGTCATGCTCCAATATTACAGGAATGGGCTTCAGGCATGCATAGGAAAGAGCTAATCAGTTAAAATGGTTCTAAGGCTGATGAGGCACATCCTCAACACAAACATTTCTAAAGCCAGAGAAACTGAGACCACTTTCAAATGGCTCCTTATTTGATCTATAGCCAACCTATATTTGCAAATCTAGTCGTGTTCAAACTAGGAAACGTTCTAACACATCAGCTGTAAACTATACACATGGGCTACTTTATTGGGCACACCTGCAGTACTGGGTTGGTTGGACCTCCTTTGGCCAATCAGATTTGCCTTAAGTCTTCATATATTGAACAAGGTGTTGAAAATATTCCCCAGAGGTTTCTCATATTGACACCACAGCATCACATAAATACGTACATGATAAGAACCTTTGTGCCATCTCATCCCATAGGTTCTGGACTTGATTAAGATCTGGTGAGTGTGGAGGTCACTGGAGTCCAACGTAATGGTCTAGAAACCAGTTAGAGGTGATCTAAGCTTTGTGGCCATCAGAAGATGGGTCCCAATAAAGTGGCAGGTGAGTTTACATTTTGCTCCATCTGCCACAGGCAACTGAAAGGGTGCCAAAGGCTAATTCTCAGTACCAGTCAGTGCATCTACATGCACATCTAAGTCGATCTAGGTTGATTTAAAGTAATAAACTGGGAGTCTTCATTTGAAGTGTCAACTGAAGTTTGTTCCACTCCGGTACAGTAGGTGGTGACATGCGCCCTTTCCTGTCAGCATACTTCCGGTGTTGGTACAGGATCTGCTCGGGGTCCTTCGACTGCCGATGACGTCACATGACTGCAAATCTACTCGGCTTTCACACACACGTTTTGGAAAGACATCAGCAGTTTTGTTAATAAATTCTTGTTTGTTAACACCTAAATGTTTTCTTTATAATTGTAATTTGTTAATAAAACACCATATTATCTTTGTTTTGTAAAGAATGTGAAACGGCATAAAACCAACATCGGACTGACAAACAATTGAACAGTTCTTGTATGTGAAGCCATATCTGTTTGTATTAATGTGGAGTTCGTCTGTATATTTCCTTAGTTGTTATCTAAATACATTCTTTGACTCAAAATATTGCTTGGTGTCTTTCAATAAAGTTCTTATATTTTATTTTGCCCCATTTCATCAACATCAAGAGATTTTGAGGGTCACTGTTTATCATTTGCTTATATTTTACATTTCCTTTAGAAATTCAAACATATTTTCTCCAAAAAGTGTTAATTTTTGGACTACAGGACTACAACCGCTAAGACTACCACTGCAAATTTGTTCTGACCAATCAAAATCATAACGTGATAGCGTCACTTCCGTAAGCTTCATGTTCAGCCAATCAACTACTTTGACGTCATCAACAGTCGAAGGACCCCGAGCCGATCCTGCACCCGAGCAGATCCTGTACCGACACCGGTTAGCTTATAGCAACGCAAATAAAAAACATACGCTGGCAGGAGTAAAGCAGACACATGAAATAGCAACAACCTGCAAACTAGAAATACTACAATAACTCACACCAGAATTTTATATAAATGGAAATCATGGACACAGGTTTTCACATTGACATTATAAATAAAGAGTCACCCACCAGGTTTTTTCATTTCCTCAACAGAAATGTTCACTTTTCATCTCGACAAACCTTTCAGTTACTCCTCTGTCAAATCCCAATAATCTTCATTTCTTATTTGTGTTCAAGTGACAAAGTATTCTTTATAGGGATGCACCAATACTGTTACTGGTATCGGTATCGGGCAGATGCCGATACCATGTACTCTTACTCGTTAAAAGTTAACCAATGCAGTTGCCTGATAGTGGCCCCACTGTGACTTGTCATTTCTGTTGTAGTTTTCTACATTGATCACTAGGGCGAGCTGTTGAGCCAAAGAGTAACAGTATGAAAACCAGGGGGCTGTAGCTAGGTTAAACAGCATGTCAGCTGTGTGGACGTACTTTAAGATTTGTGAAGATGACAGAAGCAAGGCCAAGTGCAATCTTTGTACTGATAAGGTGTCCAAGGGAGGAAAGGAGAAAACATCATTCATACCAGCAACTTCATAAAACACCCAAGACTACTTCATCAGCCAGAGTACACCGAGTTTGCTAAAGCTAAGGCTATACATCTTATTTTTTTATCTAACTCACTGACTTTTCCTGTTGAAAGCAGAGAAGAAAATTAAACCTGTATTCCAATGAATTGCATTTATTGTGTGGTAGAAGTATCGGTATCGACGAGTACTTGGATCCAAGTATCGGTATTGTAATAGTTTGGAGAAAAGTGGTATTGCTGCATCCCTAATTCTTTATTTTTTTTGTCTTGTTAGCTAACAAGGATAACCAACATAGCTGCCTGCATGCAGCTGTCCCAATGAATGTCAGCACAACGTCACATGTGATTTATCTCGTATTTTGATTGGATGATCTGAACTTGGGTCTGGAGTGTTGAGTTGTGCATGGCCACTATGATTTCAGATCTTCTGTATTTAAAGTGAATGCTGAGAGTCCAGCCCCATTTCTGTTTTTTCAAGAGAATTGAACCCACTGAGCTTAGTTACACAAACATATGTTTATGATGGAATCTCATTGGTAACAGAATTGGCATTTTTTCCAATATTACTCTAAAATAAACCATTCTGTTCAATTGATTATTTTAAGTGAGTATAGAGTTCCAGGGGGCCGTCTGGTGGGGCCTGGCCCCACTAGATACAAATATAGAGACACCACTGCTCAGTACTATAACATTTGTTTTACAATCAGCCTTAGCTAAATACCATTGATGCTGAACGTTTGCTACTAAGAAATGTGTTGGAGATTATGTTTAAAGGAGCAAATCATCGTGTATTTAAACACAAATTACTTTGTTTTCCTGTTTCTTAAATGCACAGCTTGACATTCTTGCGCATACTGTGAAATTATTTCTTTTCATTATTGAAATAATACTAAAAAGTATTTTTCTACTATAAAGAGCAAACCAGCTTGTTTTGAGTCTCACCTTCATTTAAAGACAGTGTGATTTAATAGGTTCAGTTGAATGAAAATCCGAATAGGTAACATGATTCTGAATCAGCTGGTTTATTTTATTATTATTATATTTTTTTGCGCTTACATAGGTAACTCCCGCATTTCCTGGAGCGCCTGTGACGCACAGAGCTGTGAGCGCCCGCAGCTTCTGAATGCTGAAGCATTCATAAATCTGCATCCACCCAATGAGGAGGCTCGTGTTAATCTCTGTAGGGTAAAAAAATCCGGTATGAGTCCAGACAAGTCTTTAATCTAAGGAGGAGTGAAGGAGGCGGTGAAGGAGACAGCTGGAGGCTGTTGGTTGTCGGACATGTCCATTTTCATGCCAAACTTTCCCGCTCCTGCATCAGGATCTGCGTGAAAGCTTTTCACGGACTCAGGAGACAGCAGACAGAGACGTCCCACTCACCTCACCGGTTTACGTTCACATCCTCCCGTTTGAGCCACCATGACCTCTAGTGAGAGCCCGGACCCGACCCGGCGGCTCAGCGTGCTGTCCTGGGATCAGGTGCAGCGTTTGGACTCCATCCTGGGAGAGAGTGTCCCTATCCACGGCCGAGGGAACTTCCCCACGCTGTCCGTGCAGCCCCGGCAGATCGTCCAGGTGAGACTGCGCTCCGCAACTCTGTTCTGACGCAAATTGCGCTAAATTGTCTAAAATGAAACTAGAGATGATCAGTTCCAGACACACATTCTGTCCATTTTATCGAAAATAATAAAAAAGACTTAAAATAAATCACTGCATGACTTTTCCACCTATTGTATCTTTTCAGGGCAGTTTCCACAGCTCTTATAAAAAGAAACAACCATTTATCATCTAATCATAAATATTCATTGAGTTCTATTTTCTGGTATTTTTTTTACATCAAACCATCATCACACATGTGGAGATGATCTAACTCTGTGACTGCAGTTTTCCACTAGCCCACTTCTGCCCCAAAAGAAACTTTAACACTTCCTGAAAGATGATCATTTAAAATGGGGCCAGCATCGCTACTGTGTCCCAGGACATTGTTTACATGACCTGCGTTCATATTTCATTTCAGTGGTTCATATTTTCAGTGGGAGAAGAAAGACCCAAGGAGGCTGCCGCTCCTAAAGCAGCCCTGTGGGCAATGGGAACGCCAAACATTTTTCTTTCCATGAAGCATATGATTTATTTTTATTGAACCTTTAGAGAACATATTCTGGAAAACTTGTGGTACTGTAGGAGAAACACACTGAATACTGCATCTCACCACAGTTGATCCACAAGACTATATTAAGAAATGCAGATTAGCTCTGATGGCCAAGGTGTATTGCTGCTGTCTTAAAATAACTCCAATATCAGCAAGTTAATGCGATGACTAAGTTATGAAACCTTTACATCACTATCAAATGTATTCCAACTGCAATATTATAATATTCTGGCACCAGCTGTGCTGTAGCCAACTGCACGCATGCACACAATAGTGTGCCATTGGTTTAAAGCATGATGAGGTAAGGCAACAGTTTGGTCAAATATTAGTACACAAAAGCCAGAACGCTGTCCTTTATACACGTTAAGTCAAAGAGCTGAGTATCGGTAAGGCAGATTAGCACTGGAGCACTGTGTTTTTAAACATTGTACCAGTGTAAACATTAAAGATGTAATAAAATATTGATACATTGAAATATCACAATATTTTGTGTTATGATACTTAATCAAGACAATTTAAAAAACCACAACAACAACAGACTACCCACACAAAAGTTAAAACTAAGTCTCTCTGAGCTACAACAACAGGCCTCATATAAGGTAACATATGAGGAATCGCTGTAATATTTGCTATTTTATGTAGATTATCAAGGGTGTAAGATAATTTCAATACACTGAAAGATTGTAATTAGTTGTGCAATGACACTGAATTGTTATTCAAAACCGGAGTGCTGATTTGTATTGAGAGTTTACATGCAAAAATGCACTGGATTTGTTTTGTGTCGGGCAATTCAAACTCCGACTGCTAGGTGGCAGCAGTGTTTACCGTCTTCATTCTGACAGAACAAGATCTCGCAATAACACAGGAAGTGTTTCTCAATGTCAAGGCGCCTGGCCTTGTGAGGCGATGTCTTGCGAGGCCAGGCGACTTGCTAACGAGGACACTGTCCTTCCTTGGTCAAAGAAAATGGTTAAATGGTACAGACATGCATCATGTGACCGTGGCTTCCACAGTGGTCAAGTAGCATCACGTGACATGGGAGATAACGTTATATTTTATACGTATAAGTTTCTATATAAATATATAACGAGCCTTTTACTTTTTAAATTGTGTATATATTTGTTAAATTAAATATGTAAGCAAGTTACTACCCACTAGCCACCAAAGCTGCAACTACTAAGAAACTAACCAACCTTAGATAACTTCTTTGGATCTAAAAAAACATTTTCAATTTGTTGACTTACTTTTAAACTTGATATTAGCCGCCGAAGTAGCTGCCAGCTTCTGATCCGCCATCCTTTTGAAAATACCGCGGCGTATTCTGGGAAATCTTTGACCAAGGCTAGGCTACTAGACACCTTCCATGTATCCTTGCTCAGCTAGCTAAATGGCTAACAAATAGAGAGCACACTCCTCGGTAGAACATGAACATTGGAACACACCTTGACGGTTCCTGATGACCTATCTCCTTGGCAACCGGGGCATCAAGGCGAGGTTCCTTGGCATTGAGAAACACCCAGGATGTGTCTTGGAAGCGTCTGAACTGAGTTTTCTAATTTAGGCCCTGTCCACACGTAGCCGGGGATCTGCCAAAACGTAGATATTTTCCTACGTTTTGGCCTGTCATCCACACGAAAACGGATCTTTTTAAAAACTCCGGCCAAAGTGAAGATCTGCGTTTTCTCCGTTTTGGGTGTCTGCGTGTGGATGGACAAAACCGGAGTTTTAAGGTCCGCAACGTCACTTTCCGCGACAAAAAAAGCTGATATCACGTGTGCGACCTGTGTTTACACTAGCCGGCATCATGGAAGCCCTCAGGGCTGCGCTCTGTCACTACCCGATCCATCAATTGTCCAAGTGCTTTCTGCTTGTTTGTTTTTGCAAGCAGAATTACTGCTCCTTGCGGAAGACCACAGACGAAGGACGAGGCTAAGAACGGGGGAAGTACTGCCGCCTACAGGTCTGGCATGTCCTTAACAACGTATTTATCCGGGTACGTGTGGACAGAGTCTGTTTTTAAAACGCAGTGGTGTGGATGCAAGTTTTTGGAGGGGCGGATATTCGTTTTAAAAAAAAACCCCGGCTACGTGTGGACTAGGCCTCAGTTCAGTCTTAAAAATTGCAAATATCACCTGACTTTTAGGATCTTCTGTGTGTTGTGTATCACATTGTCTCCCAAGAATCATGATATATATGATATTGCCAGATTCTTGACAATACACACCTTTAGTAAACATTACAACAGAAACAACTCACACTCATAGTAAGAGTCCGATATATCACTACTGGGATATAAAAAAGTATCACATGTACAGGAACAGTGTGGTATACTGCTGTACGCTATACCAGGATCACTGAAAATCTTCTGACTGTGTTCAATCCTCTACTTTATTTTTCTACCATGTGAATAAAAATTGAAGTCAGTGGCTGAGCGAATACCACATTCAGATATCTGAACCAATCTATGTTTTGGAGATGTGGTTGACATTAATGACAAACGTGCTAAAACATGTGACTCCACCAGATCGCTGGTTGGGTGTTATTGAAGTTAAACCCAAAGACTTGTACAGAGCCATCCTACCTGGGACCGATGGAGATGATGTGATCCGGAGCTCTACTCAGCAGCAGGTTTGTCTGAAGGATGTTATTGAAATAACATCTGTTTGTGGTCAGGTTAGAGCAGCGAAGGAAACTTCTACTGTTAACAACACCTCTGTATTCTCAGACTCATTTAACATCAGCAGTCATCAAACCACAGAACCCACAATATGGTCTCAAGTTTCTCTTCAGCAGGCTACACCTAGCACCACAATGAGAAGGCCTTCAGAGCCTAACCAATATGGAAGTCCTTTTTCATGAAAAGCAGACTGAGAGGAATTAATTAGTTGCAGTAATAACACTGGACTTGCGGGTTACGCTTGACAACAAATCACTGTTAGCAAAGACCAGATGAATGACTCGATACTCACCCTTGCCAGACTATAAACCAACCTGCCAGTGACCTATTGTTGAGGCAGAGCAACACGAAGACACTGCACGCTACCAGGAGTGTGAACTTTTTGTTTTCAAGTGGTAACATTTTGCCTGGATTGTCTATTTTTAAATTAGAGTTTTTGGATTAAAGTTACAATGGCAAATCTGTAAAACAAGCTAGCTTAAAACTGTTTAAATGCCTCTTAAAAACCTTCTAACACATTATAGCTATAAATATATTGTGGAGATGAAAAAAAAAAAAGAAAAAAAAAAGCTGATGAAGTGGTCTTCTAGTATTTGTCTAAAAACCTTAGCCAACTATTGGACCATCCGGTTGTCTGACTTACTGAACCGCCACATTTCCACATGTACCTGGATCCTCCGCTCATACACTTGTGCATTTTGCAACAGAACACCAATGGTGTGAGAGTTTCTCCGCTCAATAATATCATAGAAGGAAAACAGCTGGCTGCTACCACTTCAACTTTAGGGCAAACTACCAGAGTCCGAAAAAGAAATACACCATTTGAAGTCACACACTGTAGGGTGCAGTGTGTGACGGGTGGTAGTCAAGGGCGGGGACCTTGGCGGTCTGATCCTCGGCTACAGAAGCTGACTCTTGGCACATGGAATGTCACCTCTCTGGTGGGGAAGGAGCCTGAGTTGGTGTGTGAGGTTGAAAGGTTCCGACTAGATACAGTCGGACTCACCTCAACGCATGGCTCTGGCTCTGGAACCAGTTTCCTTGAGAGGGGTTGGACACTCTACCACTCTGGAGTTGCTCCCACTGAGAGGCGCCGAGCAGGGGTGGGCATACTAGTTGCCCCCCATCTTGGTGTCTGTACGTTGGGGTTTACCCCAGTGAATGAGAGGATAGCCTCCTTCCGCCTACGTGTGGGGGGACGGGTTCTGACTGTGGTCTGTGCTTATGCACCAAACTACAGTTCAGACTACCCACCCTTTTTGGAGACCTTGGAGGGGGTGCTGGAGAGCGCTCCTTCCGGTGACTCCCTTGTTCTGCTGGGGGACTTTAACGCTCATGTAGGCAACAACAGTGAGACCTGAAGAGGTGTGGCTGGGAGGAACGGCCCCTCTGATCTGAATTCGAGTGGTGTTTTGTTATTGGACTTCTGTGCCAGTCATGGATGGTCCATAATGAACACCACGTTCAGACATAAAGGTGTCCATATGTGCTCTTGGCACCAGGATACCTTAGGCCACAGCTCAATGATTGACTTTGTTGTTGTTTCATCTGACCTGCGGCCGCATGTCTTGGACACTCGGGTGAAGAGAGGGGCGGAGCTGTCAACTGACCCCTACCTGGTGGTGAGTTGGCTCAGATGGTGGGGGAGGATGCCGGTCAGACCATGCAGGCCAAAACGCATCGTGAGGGTCTGCTGGGAACGTCTGGCAGAGTCTCCTGTCAGAAGGAGCTTCAAGGTTCGGTGAAACC